ATTTTTGTTTAAATCAATTTTAAGTGCTTATTTACTTAATAATTTCGTTTGACTTATTATTTATTCTAACCATAAATTTGATATAAAAAGTGATCTTTCATTTAAATTTGATTCTAAAGAAAAATCAAAGGATACGATTGGTAATATATTATTTCCTATAAAAATATTATCATATAAAATTTTCTTGGTAAAAATTTGTTTATAAAAATTATATTCAAAAGAATATAAATTAAATAATTATCAATTTGAATTAAAAAGCTCTTGTTTCATTTAAATTTAAATTTAGAATTTGATCTTGATAATAATTTAGATTTAGAAAGCAAGTACGTATAAAACACGTTTTTTGTTACGAAAATAAGTTAAATTTTCGTAATTCTGGTGTGTAATTCCATATTTATTTAGAAGCTGAAGTTGTTAACAAAGTTTCATACATGTAATCTTAGAATAAATAAAATAAAAAATAAATAATTTGTGGATCAGTGCAAAAAGATTTGTATCTCAATATAAAAAAACAATAATTGCTTTTAATAAAAATCATTCAAATTTTTAACTAATCTTTATAATATTTTTATATTAAATAAAAAAATGATCTAAATTAACTTTTTATACTATTTTATTATATTTTAATCAATAATAAATGAAGCATTACTTACTAAAAAAACAAACTAAAATAAAATTATTTTTTTTAAAAAAAAGATACTTTAAAATATTATTGCTATCAATTTACAATATTAGAACTTTAAATTACACAAGCAGATTGTCTTAGATTTGATAAATATATATTCTAAATATCATAAAAATTGAATTGGCAGTTATAAAGATATTAAGATTCAAAGTTGAGTAATTAAATTATTTACTACTGTATATAATTTTTATATTAATTTTAATCAAATTTTATATAGTAAAATTTAAGAAATAATAATTAAAAAAAGTTATTATTAGTAAAAAATTTTTTTATAAATAATATATAATAAAAATTTAAATAAATTCCAATATCTAATAACCTAATTAAATAAGACAAAATTTATTTTGTAAAAATAATCTATTAATATTTATCTGAGGTACAAATCTTTTTGCACCAACCCATAGTATTTATTTTAGTTATTTTACAATAAATTATATTAAAGCTTGTGAATACAGAAATCTGAGTTTGGAGTTTTACTATAGGAAAATAAGATAATATTAGCAAATATGTACATTCCCCTGACAAAAGTCATTAACCAATAATAAAATTGAAATTATCTCTCTATAAGAAATACTTTTTATCATATTTCATATCTCATTAAGTGAACAATAATTAATGAATTAAAAACAAAGATTTATAATTTTTTGAATATTATTTATAATTATTTATTTTTATAATTTAAATAAGTAATACCTATTTATAATTATATGTTCTTTAAATTTTTAATGAACCTTGTAATATAAAATTAAAATAAAACGAATGAACTATGACAAACAAATAATTTAAAAGTAAAAGTTCTAGAGAAAGCATTCAATTTTTATCTTTACCATGTTCAACAACATTCATGCATGTATCCTGAGATGTATATACATGTACCGTAATTCGCCGCATAAATTACCGGGCTCTGTTAAATTTTATCAAAAAATTTAATTAGTAAAAAAAAGAAATCTATTAATAAAAAAAAGGGGGAGAGTTTTTTATGAGGGATGGTGGTTTATACGGTATGTATCTTATAAGAAAAGAAAATGTTATAAGTTTTTTGATCATATCAGGTGTATGCTGTCAAGAGAATTTTTCAATTATGCGTATGTATTTAACTGCACATGACATAGTTTTACTCATTCATGATATATTGATTATTTTTTGTTTCACGAAAACACAAGCCAAGATCTATTGATAAAATGCAACAACACTAACGCTTATGTGTTCATCAATCGATCTAACGACTGATAAAAAATCAGTTACGTTCAAGTTTTTTACTCTTTCAACAATTTAATTATGGAAACTTTATTCAATTTGTTACGAATACGACATAATCCTCAGCCAGAAACGGCATTTATACCGGCGCAAAGTCTCGTTCCGACTAATACATGCAAGAAGTCACTTATAGCTTGTCTATTACTTATTCAACTTTACACTGTTTGCAGTTTTATAATCTGGAAATGGTGGGACTTCTTGAGGAACCACCTTTTCCTCTTTGGATTTGCGATAAGCTTCACCTATGCTGGTATTTGGAATTTTTATGTTTCTTTCTTGAATAGACGTTTCTAATTGTCCATATATTAATCCCTTCGTTTTAAAGTTGAGATTCGTATTTTGTTTAGCAAGCACGTAACGCCTGACATTCTTGCAAGACTCTTGGTTACCGGTTACTTGTCAACATATGTTGCTCTAGTTATTATGAAATCTGAAAAAGGTATATATTTCATGAAAAAACAATTTTCATTTATTCTTTGGCGGATGTATTCGGTACTAATTTGAATATAATTATGCAAGAATATCCAACTATGGGGCAAAGTGGTATATTCTTGATTTGCATATTCAGGTTTGGTGTATTCAATCCGTTTTTATGTGTCTGAACTCATTGTTTTAGTGATAACCTTGAATTTCTCTTGACGGTAGTTATATTTTCGTTGGGAAAAGATTCATGAAGATAACTCTAATCACTATGTGCACAATACATTTTGGATTTTTTTTGTTCTGGTCCGTGCATTATTTATTTTATTTGTAAATTTTTCTTTTTTTATACTTAAATCTCTAATAATTTGTTAGGCCATATATTACGAGTAAAAAGCCGCTATGGTTTGAACGAATTTTTTATTTCGCCTTCGATTTGATATTGCTGTTTGTAATTATTTGGGCTATCGATCGACAAGGAGGAAGAGTCGATATGGTATGATTTTGGGTATATCAGATGTGGGATGATTTTGGGTATATCAGATGTGGGATGATTTTGGTATATCGATATCGATATCAGATGTTTGGTATACGTAATTTGTGCGTGTTGCCGATCTTTTAAAGTGCATTCTATTTTTTAGATGGCATATAATAAGAAAATTATACGTGAAACTGTTCAGGCTCTAAGCCATGGTATTATTTAGCTAGCTTTTAGAAAATATAATTTCATTTTTACATATTTTTCTAAATCTTTTATGACGCAAATAAATAGAGCTTAGAACACCAATTCATGGAATTCTTGCCAGCGCTGAATTTCTTGAAAGTTCTACGTTAAGTGACTTTCAAAGAACATTGATTGATACCGTTCAAAGTTCTGGGTGCAATTGGATACAAATAATTGATCGAGTTTTAGCCTCTCTGGATATGGTACGTACATACACTAAAACCATCTCATTTATGTAAAATTTAACTAAAAAAATGTATGTTTGATATTAAAAATTTTGGAACTTATAGGAATCACAGGGTATTTCTCGTCACTATAATTAAATTTAAGTTTTATTTCATGGAATTAATTAACAAAATTCGTATTTCTGCTAAAAGGTGTGTCACGGGCCCTATCTTTCAATTTGTACCGAGCTATGGACGAGATATGTGCTGGTATCACAAAATTTTTATTAGAAATAAAGCTTACAATTATTTTAAGGAAATCTTTCATTTAATTATTATTTTAGGAATGGCCGTACTCTTCGAAAAGAAAAATATTGATATATTTCTACATTACAAAGTGCCTTGGTCATCGTCTGTGCTTGAGGGTGATGTTGGAATAATAAAACAAATTATTTTAAGTGTAGGTGCATTTATGTGTTTACTCTGAATTTTATTCTCCAGAAATACTAATTCTCCCCGTGTAACAGCTTTTTGGTTTCATGGTCAGTAAAAATACCAAATTTAAAATTTCGTAATCCAAAAGTATAATTTATGATTACTTCTCTGAAATTTTTAGGACAGCGCCACTTCACATGAAACGATTGTCTTTATTGTTGATTCGAAAGAAAGCGAAAAAGGACATCTTAATGTTTTATTTGACATCCAAGCATATGGCGAAGTTGCGGAAGTGAATTTAAACGATGTAAAATATAACAATTATTTTTAAATGACTTTCTTCAAAAATTTATTAATGCATGTATATTCAATTTATAGGATACAGCGACCTCGTTGAGTTCCGCACAAGATCGAAAAAATATAGAGTAAAAATTTCATTTTCTTTTTTAGAATTTTCCTAGATTAATTATCTTTTGCAATTTCAGTTTCACAAGAGGCCTTATTGAAATGATTGGCGGAAAATTGTGTATCGAGCAGAAACAGCGCACGGAGGGGGGACAACAAATAGTTCCGGTTCTTCGATTCAAGGTTTCGATAAAATTACCAATTAGCGAAGACGAAGTCGAAATGACCAATCAGGATAGACTAATGCCTTCCAAATATTTAACTAAAAAATTGCCCGAAGACATAGATTTGTGTTCGATCCTGAGAATAGGTGTTCTCATCGACTCACTATTTCCAGAAGCTTTAAATATCCAAAAGATACTTCAGCAAGATTTCAGTCTTTCGTCAATTATAATTTCTTCGTTAGAAGAAATTAAAATCGACGAAAACAAGAAAGACTCTATTAATACAATAATCATTGATACTAGCCTTTTTTCGCGGGAACAACTCATGATTCTTGCGGATTCTTTTTCCAAAAAAAAGCAAATAGTGTCAGTGTTATTTGTTAGATTATTGCAACAGGAGAAAATCTATATTATCTTTGAGAATGCAGGATTTGAGAAAAGGAGGTTTCATTCGATTATTAAGGTTGGTTTTGAGAAATTTATTCATATATATTTGCTAATAACCTAATGAAAATATTGTAATTGAAATTTTAGCCGATCACCAATATTAAGCTTCGGAATGCTCTAGTTAACGTTGCGATTGTCCAGCAACAACTTGAACAAGAACGAGAGGCACAAAAAGCACGCCTAGAACAACAACTACAATAAAATTATCAGCAGCAACAATCAACAATCTGAAGCACAAACTTTTAGTTATTTGGAATTAGATATTACTAGCTTCGTTTCATTACCTTAGATCCTTTTATGAGATTTTTAATATTTGAACACCAGCTCAGTATTTTTATATGCAAAATAATTATTCATTAAAAAAACCGGAATCAGCTTAGAGCGCTGACATTTATTACGTAACGTGTCAACAAAACAAACGTTTGTGCACTTTCTGTGTTTTAACAAAAATACATTCACTTAACTCTGATCCGTTAATCTTTCTTTCCATGGCTATACTTACAACTCTTTGCACAGCACATAAAATGAATCGGCCAATTTAGGATGCAATTTCTCAACGTCCAATGATGCTCGCACAAATGATATCATGATTTGTCTCAACTAAATGAATCGAATTTTTGCTTGAATTGAAAAAGATTAGGATGCAATATTTCAAAATTCAGTTTTGTCTAGCCGAGACGAATCGAATAATGGAAATACTCGCGAGAGTTGGGTCACTGGACAGCGAGATATAGATGATTGGATTAACCATCTTGAAATTTTCAGCATAGATTACACTCGTACAGTCGCCGCAAAAGTAACGCCCTAAACATACAATAGGCGAAATTCTGTTAGATGTAATTATGATACCTATAATACCAGTTGGTCAGCATTAACAAGGATAAAATAGTAATTTTTATTGAAGTTATGAAGCTGCAAGAGAAATGTGTTACGACTTGATGACAGTATAATGATCTCTTGCCAAGTAAAAAAGAAACAGGCAAATAAAAATTTTTACAATCATAAGCTCTTGACAATCAAGAAAAAAATACATATATACAAGAAGTTAAAAAAGATATCCTGAATCATTTCACAATATTAATATAAAAAATTAATACAAAAGCTTTTTTAAAGTATAAAAAGAAACAGGAAAAATGAAAATTTATCATTAACAATCAAGAAGGAAATGTATATATCCTGAGATATTGATTTGAGAGAACATAATATTTCAAAAAAATAAATTTGATTTATATTTGAAAAAAGTTATGAAATAAATTCAAATAGAAAAATTCAATATCAAGCAGCTGCAAGTAAATGTATTATAATCTGATAAGAATATAATTATCTCTTGTCAAGTATAAAAGAGACAAGAAAATGAAAATTTCTTATCAAATGAAAGATTATAACTAAGAAAAAAATATATATATACAAAAAATTAAAAAGATAAATTGAGTTATTTCATGATATAATAATAAAAAATCTGTATATATACAAGAAATTAAAAAGTTATTTCATGATATTGATAATAAAAATTTATATAAAAGCTTATTAAAAGATAATTTTATTTCTTTTTATAATATGATTATTTTTTAATATAAAAAATAATATTTCAAAATTTAATTGATTAATTATAAATATATAATAAAATTAATATAATAAAATAATCTATTTTATTTATTTTTTTTAATATAATCTAGATTTTAATTATACTTAAATAAAATTTATATTAAATAAAATTTAGTATATAAGAAAATTTAATTATAATACAATTTATTTTATTTAGATTTTATTATTTTTAATTTTATTATATATACTACCCTTAGAAAAGTATCTAGTTAATCAAAATAATATTTTATTTATTTGAGATTTTTAATATAAATATAATATTTAATATTTAATAGATTATTCTTGGCTCTTAACACATACTCCAATTCTATATGACATGCTTTTTATAAGTTTAATATAGATTTCAGATGAAATTTTTCTTGTAATATTTTCTTAAATTCATAAAGATTTCTTGAATATATAATATATTTACTATATCTTTATTTAAGTTCATAACATAAATATTTAATTAGATTAAGATCTGATAATTAAGAGAATTAGTCAGAAAGTATCTTAATTTTTTTCTTAATAATCTATTCTTTGATATCTTTTATTATATAAATCAAAGTATTATTATTTTGAAATGTATAAAATTATTTATAATACTTAATTTAAATAAATAATAATAAATTTTTTTCTAAAATATGATATAATTTAGTTAATTTATTTTCTCTTTAACTTTTATAAATGAACTTAATTCTTTTTTAAAAAGTATTATCATATTATAATATTATTATCATCATATTTAATTATAGAAATCAAATTTTTACTATCATATTAAATACTATTTTCTTATCAAATATAACTAGATCTATTATTTTTAAAAAGATAAATTATAATTTGTCACTTTAAATTACTATTTTTCATTTTTGAATTGACTAATTTTATTATTTTATATATTATTTTAATCAATTTTTATATTAAAATTCTTAAGAAATAGCTTTTATATAGTAATTTATAAATAAATTTCTATTTAATAAAATACTTTACAAAAAGTATTATTACTATAGTGACATAAAATTCCTTAATTTCTTAATCTTTTCCTAGTTATGAGAAATTATATTTTATTATAATTTTTATTTATTTTATAAATATCCCTATTCTTATATTATTTATTATTATATTTATCATCACATTTCTATTTTTAAACATTATATTCTATTTAATATTTGAGATCTATATTTTTATTATCTTATAATATAATATTTATGTATATACTAGAATAGTATAGTGAAAGATCATTTTTAATTTTGATAAAACAATTATACTTGAATAATAATCTCAAATATCTTTTCTCATTCTTTGATATCTTTTGACATTCTCTCATATTCTTTCAAATCTTTTCATGTTTTCTCACATCTTTTCATATTTATGGTTAGAATAAATAATAAGTCAAACGAAATTATTAAGTAAATAAGCACTTAAAATTGATTTAAACAAAAAT